ACTGAATAAATTCAGATCAAATATCCGGATAAACACTGGATGAGAAACTTTGTATTATAAAATCATTCTAACAGCTCTTTGTGATTAGTATTAATATAAAAAAGTTCATATTATTAAATCATTCCAATTGCTCTTTATGGTTAATATTAGAATGATAAAGTTCATATTATTTTTCTAACAACAGGAGGAAACATTGATGTTACACGACTGATCTCTCACCCGGTGTGCAACATATAAAAATCATTTTACAATACTAGATAATTCTGCAAGTACATGTTATGAGAAGTTATCTTTCTAGCAGCTCTTTATAGTTAGTATTAGGATGAGAAAGTTTGTATTATTAATAGCTCTTTATGATTAGTGTTAGAATAAGAAAGTTTCTATTATAAAATCATTCTAGCAGCTCTCTATAGTTAGTGTTAGAATGAGAAAATTCATATTATAAAATCATTTCAACACTAAAGTTAGAATTTAGTATTTTGATTATGGATATTTGTACTATATATTAAAATTTTGTATATTAGTCTTTTCAATAATATATCCAATCCACATAATTCACATGTGCAATATTAATTATTCAATATGGTACTTAAAATAATCATTAAATTAATTTTTATCTCACCGATGAAAATAGAAACATGCACTAATCAGTATAATACGATCTTTATTAATTAAAAAAAATTTATTGATTTTGCTTTTGGTGATAGACTATCAGTGTAAGAACTAAAAAAATTTCTATAATGTTAAATTGAAAAGAATGCAAATGATATAAGGTTTATTGTTTTGTCTGTTTGGTATTCATGATATGCATTTAATCTGATGCTCTTTTTCAACCATGTTGCAGGACAAATACTGTATAAAAGAACTGTGCCACAGACAAACGCATTGAAGATCAAAATTTTTAATATAGAGATTTTTTTATTTTTATAATTTTTTTTAAAAAACAAAACTTTTAAAAAATATAAAAAATTTTAAATTACTAGTCGGGTTGTCATATTACAAAAAGTGATCTATGGTGATGTTTAGTATGGTCGTTCATATTAAATCCCATTCTATGCCCATCAACATCGACAAATTAGTATTATAGCAAGTATATTATATGATAATCTAGTAAGGATTATAATTCTTATCCTCAATCTGAAATATATTATAAATAAGAATATCTGCATTTAATCCAGATTTCAGATCAAAGTACTACAATTTGGCTTTGATCATGACAAATAGTGATTAAGGTCAATAGTTTATAGCTGATTTGAAAATTAGTGAGATACTTAAAAAATTTGCTGTCTCAAAATCTAATACTAATAAACAAACTCTAAATTAGAAGGTATGAATAGAATATTTTTCTCACTTTATTATTTTAGCATAGTCATATGTATGCATAAACGTAAAGTACACATGCGGTAATTCATCAGCAATTATATCATAATAATGTAACAGAATAGTAATATAATTTGTAAAAGTATTAACACTTTCTAAAATGAATCAATGAAATTCATTATTCCTACCAAAAAAAAAATTTTTAAAAACAGCATAGTGAACATCAAAAAAGTTAAACAGAACCATCTTTATATATTTTTTATCAAATGTTGGCTAAAATTTAAAACCTGATTTTACTTTAAATGGCAAGCCCATTGATTGTAATAATGAAATGATGTCTAAATATCACTTCAACAAAGCAGATAATTGGCTTACATGTGCTGCACAGCGGCACTTGCAACCCAATCATTTACACAAATTTTTTCGTCTTACGACCCAATATCAAAAACATGAAATTGTTGGGTTAGAGTGGATTTAGTTAATATATAATCTACATGCTACATAGATCGCATTCTTGATATTTAAATATATAAACCCTCCTAACTGTATCAAGAAGATAACTTACATAAAAATTTCATAATTAATTTCTCACGCTTAAGATCTCATTTTTTGGATCTGATTGAATGAAAAGCGTACAACCCAGAAATGTAAAAAAAAAATTTATCTGTAAATTAATTGACTGTAAAATAATCTTGCCTGTAATTAAATTCTGGTAAATATTGGTGAGTATTATAAAAATTCAATTCCATACTATTATAGAGATGTGACCTGGTCATAAATTTTATATGTAAAACATTGACATGTAAAATCATAGAATTTTAACATCCAATCAAATGCAAGATTTTGCGAACTTGCCATTCTAGATAGCAGATAACCATACATTCATTATTTTTCTGATACATACATGTGTACATAATACATATTCATCATCACAACGTTCTTAGTTAGGGTGGGAAACAGATAGCCTGTTGGGCCCATATGGGCTTTTTTTGGAAATTAATTTGGGCCATTTCGTCAAAACACTAGTCACATGATGATTTATCATGTAACTATAATTTTGAAGATAACCTAAATTAATTTCTAAAAAAAGCCTACACAGGCCCAACAGGCTACCTGTTTTTCACCCTATTCCTAATATTATAGTTTATGTATTTCAAGATCAAAATAAAGCCAGGTTTTAATTTTAAATCTGATTTGTCAAAATTTTATAATCAGATTTTAATTTTAAAACTGGTTTGTCTAATTTTATAACCGGATTATACAATTACAAAACTGATTTAATATAAAACCGGGTCAACTGAATTTATAGTCAAATTTTTTTAACTAGTTCTAACCTCTAGCCATGATCAAAAAGTTGAATGCTCTCACATTTTATGTGATCATATTGGTAAACCTGATATCATCAAATAATACTCTGCCAATAGTTGTATCTATAGTTGTTTGATGAAACTTTGAGGTTTCGTACTGATAAAATGCGAAACCTAGTTTCATTTTTTGTCAACTAAAATTTCAAATGACAAAATGATGAAAAGTAACAAAACTGGCAAAAGATGATGAAACTGACAAAAGGTGATAAAACTGACAAAAGATGATGAAACTGATGAGAAAAAGAAACAAGTGAAGTAAAGGTGCCACTGGCTCCTACATTTATGTTTATATAAGACTAAAATTTAAAATATACAATTATATCAATTTTAATAAGTAATTTAAGTAATAATTTATCAATTAAGTAAATTAGCACAATTAAGATTATTTCACATATTTCTGTATATCGATATCCTATTGGTTAAATCAATAAAAAACTTTTTATTAATAAATTAGTACAGATAATATGTAAAAATTAATATGAGGAACATACAATACATATTTAATAGAAACTAAGCAAATCAGTAAATCATAGTTTTTGAGTTGATGTGATTTTTGTGTTGTGTTACACAAATCAAAATAAACAATGATTGACAATCTAAACCCACTTAACCAGTGTTAAAGATTTGATGTTTTCAGTGTTCTTAGGAACATTTAAAAAAATTTGAAAACACTAAATTTAAAATTTATATTCCTTTTTGGGAACAAAGTAAGAACATAAAAGTTATAATTTGTATTCCCTATAGTAATATTTTTTTGGTGTTGCATGGCTTTTTTTTTATAGTTATGGCATTGGTGGGTATGAAGATAATTTCTAAAAGCAGCGCATACTATTTAAACAATATGTTGAATACTTGTTATGACTTCATAACCTGAAATTTAGATACCATTATTTGTTTATTTTTATCACATTTGATATATTACAAAGAAGAGAAATCATATTAGAAGCATACTTGATGCCAAAGCGAGTAAGCTTTGAATGATCAGCTAAACTAATCTCTAAACTTACACCTAGCGATATAAAGACTGCAATCAAACAAGAGCAGAATAAACAACCAATAATAAATAAGGCTGTATTGGAATTATTAAAAAATATTAATAATGTTGGTGGAAAAATCATGGGTTCACACCAATCACAAAACTTTCTTCATAATAAAATATACACTGTTATAATATGGGATAGCTCACCTTTATTATTTATAGCTATTAATCCTGCAGATTTATATAGCTTGATCGTAATAATGTATACAAAAAAGAGATAGATGTTAACACTTTACCTTTTGAGAATTTTTCAACTGCAACAGAAAGAGCTAAATTAGCTCATCTTAATCCAACAGCATTGGTGAAGTATTTTGATATCTTGATAAATAAGATAATCAACTTTGTTCTTAGCTATAAAAAACAAGGAGGTGATATCTTGGGTAAAATAAAAAACTATTACGGGTAGTGGAGTATCAGGATCGAGGTACACCTCACTGCTATATGCTAATTTGGTTGAAGGTGCCCTCAATCCAATTGAACTACAAGACTGTCTTAAATATGAAAATTTTAGAAAGTGATTAATAATTTACTTAAATAAAATTATCAAAGAAAGACATTAAATATCTTTTTCTGAATAACGATTACTTAACTAATGAAATGTAGATGCTGAATTAAGAGCCCCAAAAACTAATTTAGAAAAAAAAATACACCCATCAATTTTACCAATTCCTGACCCAGAATTACCAGACTTTGAAGAAGAATTCTGACTATATATTCTTAGAATTGCAAAACAACATTAGTTTATAAATGTACTAAATCTTGTAAGAAATATTATTGTGGAAGAGTATCTAATTGTCATTTTAACTTTCCTCACGAGCTAGTTGAGACACCTAGTAAGGTATATCCTGAACTTGGAATTATTGTCTTTCAATATTACAATACATATATAAATATTCATAACCCTTAAGCATGGCGGACATTTTATTTGATTGGCTTGAAGATCATTAGGTTACACAATATAAAAAAATTTTTAAAGTAACCCTTACTATGAAAAACCACATCATCAATTGGCAATTCATAGTTTCATATAATAAATTTTTTTTTAGAGCATATTATAGTATTCTTTAACTCTTGTATGTCTTTTGGAAAAAAAGATCAGTATAGATCAGTATTCCTAAAAACTTTACTTAGAAGACAAATTTAGGCAAGTAATACAGTAATATGAATAAGTTAATTAGTGTTAAACTTTTTTTTACTCCAAACTCAATGCCTTTTCTACTGATCCAAGCGACTAACAACATGGTAATACTTCATCTAGTTCATATTCAAACTGTTCATGCTTTTTTGGTTGATGCATTATAAAATAATTTTACTGGTAAGCTTATTTAGTGATCATCAATACAACAGAACGTCCAAGTAAATTACATGTTTTATTTAGTGAACGAAAGAATGTATGAATGAATGCACAAATAGGTGCTTGTTTAAAATAAATTATTATTATTAAAGAGTAATAATCTTATTTATTCTAATTAAAATTTTAGATTAAAAATCAATATAAATATAGTGATGATATTGCAATTGTGATTTATAGAATAACCAAGAACCCGAAAAATGATAACTACAAGATAGTTATAGAGTATGCAAAGCAGGGAAGTTAGAAAATTGTTAGATAGTAAATATGGTGAATTAGATTGGGTTTCTAAAGTAGCAAACTTATATTATATAGCTGATGGGCTTAATACAAATCACGAAGCCCATAAAGATTTTCATTCTGGCAATATAGTTATTCAAAATATAGTTAGTTCTTTTAGTTCTTACATTACTAATTTTGGTTTATGTCATAAGACTCAAATTCAAAAGGGCTTTTTGATGTAATTCCATATATTGACAGAAAAAAATACACTCAAAAATCAGATATTTAGTCTTTTAGAATAATTATACCAGAAGTTTTTACTGGATATCCTCTATATCATGGTATTCCACACTACAGATATTTAGCAACACGTATTTGTCTTAGTTATAGACCCAAAATTAGATGTGAAGCTTCTCAATTACTTTTGGATCTAATGAATAAATATAAGGTATAGCCAATACATCCTTAAAAATATGTTTTTTATTTAAGTATTTATCCTAAATAATTATAACCATACTTGCTCACAACTACAAAGCACATACATATAAATTAGGATAGTTTTATCTTCATGAAAAGAATGAATATAAAGCATTCGCCCATTTCAAAAAATCTGCCAACATGGAATCAATTGGTTTGGCTATTATTACGAATATGGAATAGAATGAAAACAAGGTATTTATATATTACTAAAAATTAGCAAACATGTATAATCTTAATAAAATGTATCAAGTTGGTTATTTAGGAATTGGGGTCAAAATCGATAAGCATAAAGCACTTACCATAGGGATTCAAAAAACTGCAATTCGTTATTATGGATTTGGCATCAAAATAAATTTTATAAATGGTATATTGATTTTTATTTATATTTATAGCTTATTTTAAAAAAATATTGATAATTGCATTAAAGCATTTCAACTTGGGCTGGAAATATGAAGATGCGATTGAATAGACCATTTAATAAATTATCTGATGTTAAAAAAATCAGTAAAGGTGGATTTGGTTCTGTATATTCAGCAACCTGGTTAGATAGCATATGAAAAGTTAAAAAACTTACCAAAGAGCACATGAACCATTAGCACTATTGCACTCAAGATGTCAAAAAAAAACAATAAGAAGTAAGTTAATTTATTGCTTTGATAATTTTTCTAATAGTTTATTAAATTAATTCATTGTTTAATAAAAGTCTTATTGAATATAATTACATTATAGTCAGGGACAATTAGGGGCAGCGACCAGTAGGTTATTAAATTGGTAAAGTATAAAAGTAAAAGACAAAATTAAATTTAACAAATCTTACAAAGAGTTTCTTGAAGCATCTATCTAGAGTTGGTAAGGTTTCTAGGTTCAGAACCTAAGACCTAGTTTTTGGAACCTAGTTTTTAAAACCAGGTTCTAATTTTGGAACTTAGGTCTTTAGGTTCATAATAGATTTTTAGGTTTATAGTTGGTTTTTAGGTTTTTAGATTTGTTTTTGAAATTATTTAATATAATAAATATAATAACATAATAAATAAAAGATGACTAACTAAAGAGCTAATTAATATCTTATTATATCAATACAAAAATATAAATTAATTTTATATTTCAAATTATATTTTAAAGGAACTAGGTTCAAAAATCAGGTTTTGGAACCAGGTTTTAAAACTTTTTAAAAACCAGATTCTTAGGTTTTTGAAATAGAACCTAAAGGTTCCAAACCAAAAACCAAATCTAAACCAACCTAACCATCCCTACATCTATCATCATTGACATAATAGCCTTTTAGTCACCAAACCCTTTTTTCAATCTCTCATTTATACTTTTTGTAAAGACAAGAATAACTCTTTTGAGAGTGTTCCATAGTTCTAAACTCTTTTTGACCCATTGATAAATACGCAGACTTTTGCTTAATAATTTTTTCACTATTACAAATTAAATCAAATGCTTCTCTAATTACTTTTTTTGGCTTAATTTTGTCATTTAACAAAGGCTCAGTGGCACAGACACTACTAGTCTAGTGGCTAAAAGATTAGAAATTAAAATAAAATTTCATTAGCGTTGAGAAAGAAGAAAATTTTTTTAAAATAGCTCAAGAAAGGTTAGACAAAGTTAGTTAGTTTTAACTTCTAAAAAAAGACTGAGACAAGGCCCGGTGCCGTAGAGTCAGAAATCCATCTACATCTATCAGTTAAACTGACTAGCAGGAGTAGTGTATTTTACTACTGAGCTCACAATATATGAAATAACCCAAAATACAAAAACAAAAGATTACTTGATGGTCTTTCAGTATGCTGATAATGAAAGTCTTTATAAATATTTATGAATAAATTTTATTAGTCTTGCAGACTAAATTACAAATATTTAAAGATACTGCGAATAATTCATAAAAATACAGGATACATCCATGCAGATTTTTATAGAGGTAAAATTTTGCAGAATTGACACACTAATGAAAATACTCAACTCTATATTGCAGATCTGGAATTGTTAAAAAAAATAGATGAGAAAGTTTCAACTAGTGAAGTTTATAGAGTTATACCCTATATTGTTCCTGAAGTTTTATTAAGCGAGCAGCAGTTTATATAGGCAGTAGATATTTATGGGTTTGGTATAATTATAGCAAAAATATCAACTAGTCAAAGACTGTTTGATGGACATGAATTTAATTTAAAGCAGACAGTAGAAATTTGCAAAAGATCGTGGTCAGAGTTTACAGCTAGAACTCCTAAAAGCTATATTGAATTTACTGAAGAATAAATGAATTCTGATCCGCAAAAATGACCCAGTGCTGGGAATATTTATAGTGCAATAAGGCTTATAAAGATAGCTAATTCGAATTAAAAAGCAATTCTTAGATGCTGATAAAGTTAATAAATCATTGCCAATACCAAAACATTTTGATGAAATGTACTATGTACTAGCAAAATTGTTTGCACAAAATTTTTTTTTTTTTTTTTTTTTGTTTGTAAATTGCTTATACACTGTAAATCTTTATTAGTTAATATGGAACATATTACAATTAGGTATTACAGTGAAGGAGTCGTGCTACACTAATTAC